CACACAGGAATCATTCCCACACACAGGAATCATTCCCCACACACAGGGAATCATTCCCCACAGACAGGGAATCATTCCCCACAGACAAGAATCATTCCCCACAGACAGGGAATCATTCCCACAGACAGGAATCATTCTCCACAGACAGGGAATCATTCCCCACAGACAAGAATCATTCCCCACACACAGGGAATCATTCCCCACACACAGGAATCATTCCCCACACACAGGACATTCCCCACAAACAGGAATCATTCCCACAGACAGGAATCATTCCCCCCCCACAGGAATCATTCCCACAGACAGGGAATCATTCCCCACACACAGGAATCATTCCCCACACACAGGGAATCATTCCCACAGACAGGGAATCATTCCCCACAGACAGGAATCATTCCCACAAACAGGACATTCCCACACACGGGACACCGCCGGCTCCTCAGGCCGCGCGCGCCGCCCCGCGGGGGGGGGGCGGGGCGGTGAAACCTCGCGAATAACCGAGCGCGGCCCCGCATTGGTCAGGAGCCGTGACTGACAGCACCGGTGCAGGGCGCTGATTGGCCGCAGCGCGGCGTTCGGGGCGGGGTTCAGGGCGGGGCCCACCGCCCGGTTAGCCTGTCTGTTTCCCCATTGGCCGCGCGGCGGCGGTGGGCGGGGCCGGCCGCGGTTATAGGCGGTGTCGGCGGGGCCGCGCGCCCCCTTTGGCCGCGGGGCGGGAAGGGCGCTCTGGGCCGGGCTGGGCCGGGCTGGGCCGGGCCGGGTTTGGCGGGGCGGGGTTGGGTTGGGTTGTCCCGGTCGGGCCGGGCTGTGCCGCGGCGGGCGCTCCTCCTCTGCCGGTCTCGCCGGTCGAGCGCTCGGCTCCCCCTTTCCCCCGCGGCAGGGGCAGCCCCCGGGGTGGCGGCTGCCGTGCGGGCACGATGAACGGGGCGATGCGCAGCCCGGTGGCCGCCGTCATGCAGGAGAGCTTCGGCTGCGCCGTCGCCAATCGCTTCTACCAGCTCCTGGACGACGAGTCGGACCCCTTCGACCTCCTGCGCGAGGCCGAGCGCCGCCGGCGGCAGCAGCAGCAGCGCAAGAAGCGCGACGAGGCGGCGGCCGCGGGCAGAGCCGGGCCGGGGGAACGAGCCGTGCCGGGGGGCGGCAGGAAGGAGAGCCAGAAGGAGCGCAGGCAGCCGGGGGGCTCCGCCACCGCCACCGCCGAGCCCCCGCAGACAGGTACGGAGGGGAGGGGCGGGCGGCACCGGGAGCGGTGCCCGGTGGAGCCGGGGCCCGGAGCGGTGCCCGGAGCCGGGAGCGGTACCCGGAGCCGTGCCCGGAGCGGTGCCCGGTGGAGCCATGGCCCGGAGCGGTACCCGGAGCCGTGCCCGGTGCTGGGAGCGGTGCCCGGTGGAGCCGGGGCCCGGAGCGGTGCCCGGAGCCGGGAGCGGTACCCGGAGCCGGGAGCGGTACCCGGAGCCGTGCCCGGAGCGGTGCCCGGTGGAGCCATGGCCCGGAGTGGTACCCGGAGCGGTGCCCGGTGGAGCCATGGCCCGGAGTGGTACCCGGAGCGGTGCCCGGTGGAGCCATGGCCCGGAGCGGTACCCGGAGCCGTGCCCGGTGCTGGGAGCGGTGCCCGGAGCGGTGCCCGGCGCTTACCCTGCCCTGGCAGCCGCAGGGTCCCGGCAGGGCCGAGGGAAGCCGTGCTTGCCATGGGGAAGGCACACCTGGACAAGGCCGTGGCACGGGAGCGTGGCGCCTGGTGGCCGTGCTGGACCCCGACAAGGTCCTTGGGAGCGCTCCCAGCCCAGAGGGCTTTGGAGGTGTAAATGAAAACTTCAGCCCCTAAGAGACAAGTGCAAGAGCATTAACTTCTCCACGGCAGCGTCTGTAACTTTCACGCTGGTTGAGCAGCCCTATTGATGCCTTTCATCGCCCTAGCCATTATCCTTGAGTGTTTGATGCTTCCAGGCTTGTTTTCCCAGTACCTGTGGGTCTTCTGGCATTTCAGCATCTTCGGGGTTCTAACGTCTCCAGGAATCTGTGCTTGTTTTACGTTGGGCTTACACTGATGCACCAGCCTTGTTTCCCCGGGTGAATTCTTCAGCACGGTGTTCAGCAATGGCCGAGGGTTGTATGTCAGATGCTGGATTCTTGATGTTGGTTGATGAAATAGGGAGTTTGTACCAAAAAGTCTTGCCCGGTCCTCTTTGCATCTGAAGACTTTGCCGTGCCATAGTTTGGAGGCACCTTTGTGAGTCTGATTGTTACTACAAACTGGTATTGAACTGCAGGTTGTTGGATTCAATATAGACAGTATCCAGGGGCTGGCTGATTGTTTCGAAATATGGAGAATCTCTGCACTGAAGATTCTGGTTTCACCCTCTGAAGTCCCTATTCTCCTGCAACAAGCTCATAATCTTTAATTAAGATACTTTCTTCCTGTAGTAAAGGCTCCTTTTAAACTCACCGTAATTGAACTGTGTGTTTTAACGCCCTAGAAAACAGCCTTTGATTCGCCGTGGTTTCTCCATCAAGTTGTTACTGGTGCTGGCAACTCAATTGCTTAGGCTTAGTTGTTACACTGTTCCCTACAGCAATTAGTTGACCATGTGAGGCAGAGACTCTTTCCACACCAAACCTGTGCTGGCTAAGGAGCATCTTAGGTGATATCACCAAGTTGTCACTGTCGTTTTGGACAGTGATGTGAAACTCATCTTTTTGAGGTTCCTCTGTAGTTATGTGGCTTTGTCAGAGATCACTGCCTGTAAGACCAATACTTACAGTAGTAACAGCTTATTTTATTTAAATTACACCTTGCTGTATCACTTCTGTATCAACAGAAGGTGTAGGTCTGTTCAGTGAACAGCAGACTCTCAAGTTTTGATGAAAATGTTCTTGAACAGGAACTGGTGGCTATCAGTGACCCACTAGGAGCACTAGTAGGATGTGAAGCCCATCCTTTACCTCCTGCTTGTCTGTAGACAGCATCTTAATTCTGTGGTAATACACAGTGGCATTGTGGAGTATTTTTGACTGTTCTCTTCAGTCTTCATGTTAGGGAACATGTTTTCTTATGCAGAGACATCAGACGTGCACCTTATTTCCTGCTGATTTTAAATAGAGAAAAGACTGCTGGCTATAGTATCCTTAGTCAGAGGGAAGGACCACTTATTTTAAAGAGGAGTTATTTCAAAAAAAATGCACTTTCTTTGTAAAATAAAATGGCTATCCTGGATTTTGTGTGTGCTTTATGTTTGCCTTGGGTTGTTGAGAAATAAGGACTGCTCAGGATGCTAAACCAGGGTAGGTAGTCAAGACTTGGTCTTACCTATGTGTTCTTTTGGATGTGCTGTCTTAGAAAGTCTGCTCTGTAGGGCAGAGATCACCCTCTGAATTAGGGCAACTACACAGTGATGGGGTAGCTGACAAATACAACGTGAATGGTGTGTTGAGGGAAAAATCTTCAGGTTTTTTGTAAGGTGGGGGGATCAGCTTCTTTAGGGGCCATACAAAGTTGATTTTTTTACACAGGGTTCAGCTTCTGGATTCTGTAAAACGTTCAGAGGAGTATCAGCTTAAAAGTTGAGAGTGAGTAAATTCTTGGGAAGGTCCTCGAACTAGTTCAGTTCGGCATAAAACTTGATGGATACATTGCTAGAAGAGTGCACTTCTTCTTGGGGAAATAAATCATATTGATTAAAATTACTAAATGGTGAAACTAATTACTATTATCTTTAAAAAAAACCCCAACAAACAAAACCAAAAAGTCCTACTAAAAATTTCATGATTTTTGTTTTATTACAGTACTATTTCTTGAGCGTATTAAATCAGAACAAAAGGGTCTTTAGAAAGACTCAAAGCAAACCTAGAATTCTATCTGGTAATGCACAGTATTTGGAGAGACTTTTTTGTGGTGTTATATTTTAAAGTTAAAATGGAATGCTTACTTGCAAAGTTCTGTAAATTGACATTTTGTTTATATAGTTCTTCACTGCCTTTTTCAGAGGAGCTTTTATTAAATTTCTGGAGATATTTTCAATTTGAAGCAAACCTCCTTAGAGGACTTTACCAGGTAATGCAATGGTTTGAGTTTTAGAGTCCAACTATTTAGTATGAATTGACAGAACTGTAAGGAGACAACTTTTTAGTCCTTCTTTTTCAAGGAGAAACTGGACTCCTGTTTTGTAGCCTACCAAAACCTACACTTTTGACGTTAATGATGTATTTTTTTGTTCTTTTACTGAGTGTTGTTTCAAAAAGCTGTGGTTTGTTTTTTTTTGTTTCACAAAACTGTGATTTTTTTTTTTTTTTTAGACTGTATTAGCTGAGGATTTGGGTAAAGACTGGTTGTAGGTATTGCAGCTCTTGTAATTGCACCTCTTAATGTTAGCTCAGTTCATTCTTACCACAGCGACCAAACTGCATTTGCCAGCTCTTTATTCAAAAGGCCTAGTTGCAGAGCTTGCATTCTCTGCCAGTCCAGGCAAATTGAATTTGCTGATCATGCAGTAACAAGCTCCGTGCTTTTGAAATCTCTAAACCTTTGTTGCTAATACCTCTAAAAGGTTTTCTTCTTTCGCGTACATTTAGTGACTTCGGTACCATTTATATGTAGTCCCTGAATACTGTGTTTTTGAATTTTTATCTGTGTTTTGAGTTAATATGGCATGGGAAGTTTCTGGGCAGTTTTGTCTCAGACTGGCTGCAGGTTTTTTTATTTTTAAATAGTTTATCCTGGTAGCATTTCTTCAGCTACAATGCCATAAGGATTTTCTAGAGGAAAGCTGTAGTAGGCAATTCTGTAATTCAGTGAGTACTGGCACACATGAAAACAGAAGACCACAGAATAGAGTCTAGCTCCATGTGTCTTTCTTTGGTGTGTTGCATGTAATAGCTGCAGCCTTTTTTTTTTCATTATTATTATTATTTTGGGACAGTCTGTTACTATTTTGCAAGTCATGTAATTAGCTATGCTTTAGTTCACAAAATTAATTCAAGTTTGGTATTAAAATCACATGGACACACACATTCAAAGGGGAGAAAGTAAGATTATTTGTGGAGTCTTAAATCTGCCACGCTCTGAAGTGTAGCAAAATAAATCCCTGAGAGTGTGAACTGCCTTTTACTACTTCCAGTTATGCAGCTTTGTTGTAAAGGAAGATTAAGTTGTTAGGCAAATTTCCTTACCCTAGGATTCCCACAGCTGAGTATGACATCCAATTTCTGGGGAAGAAAAAAAAATAGTAATTGAATGGTAATGCAATTGGTACAGCTCGAGCAAGGTGCTTCCCAGGAGGGACCCAGAACAAAGAAATCCCAGGGATTTTATACCCTTGCAATCTATGCACCTGTTCTTCACACACCTTGCATGCACCTCTGACTCCAGGGGTGACTTTCTGTCATGGAGTCTTCTTGTTCCTTACCACATTCTTTCTCTGCAGCTGTTTTTGTCTGGACGGGTTGCAGCTCTTGCTGATAGTCGTGGCTTCTTAACCTTTTCGTTTGCGCTGGTCTCAGAGCCTCCCTTTATTGTGGCTAAACAATAGCACAAGACTAGTTCAGCATTTCAAGGTGAAAGTTTGCAGCTTGCTACTTTAGCTACTTTTAGAAAGCAAAACTACTTTGGCAAGTGAATCCAGTTAAAAGAATTCAACTAACTACACTTAATTTACAACAGTTCTCCCTTTGTTTTTAAGCTTTCCCGCAGTTATGTCGAAAAGAACTCATGAAGTCTTTCAAGGCATTTGGCTACGATCCAGTGTTACTGCAAGCAGCGTGATATCCTAAAGATTTAACAGCAAAATAAATGCACAGCAGGACGGTATATGACTCTTCCCATTTAGGTCCTAACTTGGATTTCTGTGAAAATGCCTTAGTGCCTCATTAATGCCTCCTCTCCAGGTTGTGTCTCATGTACCTGTACTTCATGTACCACTGAGCATGCTTACTTTTTTTCTCTCAAACCTTTTTTTTTTTGCACTGGGTCAGCTGTTCATCCAAGAGGCTGGTCCTGGGTATGATTGTTTGCCCAACACTGTTCCTATTGATGACAACCCTAGATGCTGGCAAGGGGTTATTTCCCAACATGGCATAATATCCCAAAGGAATATCCCAATATTCCTAAACTTCAGGCCATTATAAACCTATCTGACTACAAGTCTGAGTAATTTCTTTTTTTTTTTTTTTTTTTTTTTTTTTTTTTTTTTTTTTTTTTTTTTTTTTTTTTTTTTTTTTTGCCTTCAGTTGAAGCCTTTTTTATGAGCTGGGCAGTGTGCTGCAGGAATTTCCTCTGAAAGCCTAATGGCTACCAGCAGCATTTGGATTTCAGATCCATTATAAATATTATTTTCTGCTGAAGTAAGGGACTCTCATTCTTTCCATAGCATACCCACTGCATGACACACTCCAAAAGCGTATTTAGAGTCAGTATAAATAGTCACTTGCTGGTCACGTTCCCACCGGGCTGCTCTTACTAATTCAATTAATTTGGCGTCTTGGGCAGTTCACCAAAGGCTGGAGAGGTTCTGTTTCAAACACCTCACAGTGTCTCACCACTGCATAGCCCCTGTGTTGTTTTCTGTTTGTGTGGCATGAAGATCCACTGGTGAACAGGATCAGACTTCAGGTCTCTAGGTTTTGCAGATCTTCCCATGGCTGGCCAGAGAGAATCAGCTCCTTTTTAACAGCCATGGTGTGGCTCACTGATGGAAGGGACAAACAGCAAAGTTGCTGAGTTCAAAACGTCACATCTTTTCACAGTAGCAGTAGGTGAATTAATGATTTTAAATTCAGAACAACGTGTTTTTTGAGGGGACAGTGATTGTGTAGAATGTAATTTAAGAATCGATTCCACCTCATATGGTGCGCACACAGTTGTCAGGTGTTCCTTTTAGAGCTTGGAAAATCCTTTCCTTCTCTGGACTCCAACGTGTAGAATCCACTTGCTCTGCCTTGGTAACTTCTTTCAGTGGTTTACCTAAGTCCCCTAGATCTGGCATTTGGGTTTTTCACTATCCTGCTGTACCTAAAATTTTCCTCACAGTTGTTTGCTTTGTTGCTGGTCAAGGTATTTCTACCATAGCCTGGACCTACTTTGGGTCTATTAATCATTGTCCTTTTTTTTTTTTTTACTATTAATACTGGATATTTTATTTCCTGATGACACAGCTGAAGCTTGAAAGTTGCTTAATTGCCTAAATATTTCATGCGGGGTGGTATTTTGATAAATCCTCATCTAATCTGTTCTTCGTGAGCAGTATACGAGTATTATATGGTGATGCAACCACCCTCAAAATTCTGTGTGCCAGACAGGTTTTGAATGTTCTTTTCATCTTCCTAGGAAGAAGGTTATTGTTTTAGAGCTGGAGAGTCTTTTTTTCCCTTTGTGTTTTTTTTTTTTTTTTTTATTTATGGGTTAAGCCAAAACTAGCAGTTCTGCATCAGTGCTGATTTTACTCCACAGCTTTGTGGGTACAGTTTTCAACATTTCTGGTATTTTTGGCTGCTTTTGTAAGCTTTTGGTTCCCATAATTATTAGGTATATCCTAATTGCCATGCAGGCAATGGATGTAATCCCACACCTAGGGTTTGCAAGAGGTCTCTTCTTAATAAGCATACTAGGGAGTCTTCTGCCAGTGAGAACCTTCCCTAGAGAAGTGCCTCTTCCCAAGAACAAGCCCCATTGTTTGAGGACAGACTATATGGATAGAGAAGCTTGCTGAGAGCTAGGCAACACCTCTGGAAAGGCATCTGGATTTTGCTGTGGTGTTCTAAGTCCATCTGTTCATTCATGGGTGTCCAGTGTCTGGGAAACCAAGCAATGCAAGTCTTAAAAATACAGTTTCTGCTTTTCCAGTTGCAAGTTCTGTGGTACATGCTTATTAAAAACACTCCTCTAGGAGATCTTCTTGTCTAAGTGCTGCACAGTAAGTAGCACTAATGCTGATGGTGAAGTACTATTGTTCGGAAAGTGAAATCTACTCTAGTATTTTACATCTGATTTAGAGTTTTAACAATGGCTTGTAAACCCAAGCTTTTTTCTTTAGCAGTGTCTGGTTCTGGTACCTGTAATTTTAGTATTTACACATGTTTTTCCCTGTAACAGTAGCTCAACCCTCTTCTCCTGGAATTAAAAAAAAAAAAGGAAAAAAAAAGGGCTGTGTCTGTTGAGACAGTTTAAGCATCAGATTTCTTTGATTCCTCGTTTAGAAAGTAAAGCAGTAGGCAACTTATCCAAGAGAACAGGCTGGTGCAGTAACCTTCCAGGGGAGCTGCAGTGAAGTGGGGAATGGTGGGACACATCTTCAGGTGAATGCAGATTGCAGGTGTAACTGTAAGACACAGAAAAAGCACTTTAAGGAGAGGCTAAACTAGGTAACTAGGAAAGAGTGAGCTTCAGCTTTTGGCATGATGTTTGTAAGACCTCAAGCAGGTGACTCACAAAACTCCTGGGGTTTTTTTTTTTTTTTGGTGTGTGATTTTGAAGAAAGCCTGCACACCAGTCAGTATATGCAAACAACCAGGCAAAGTTGGGGTGTGCTTGCAGAGGTACTTAATAAGCATTTGAAGTGTAGCCCAGCTCTTTTTAAGTGAAACCATTATAGCAGTGCTATACAAGATTGCTGATGCTTTATCTTGGGGTTTTTTTCCTTTTTTTTTTTTTTTTTTTCTCTTTTCTTATATGCAGAGCTGAAGGTTGTGTTAGAACTGATTTACAAGCAGGTCCCAAACTTCTTCCCTGAGGGTGACTTATCTTACTAGGGAGGTGTAGGTGCTGCACACTGTTTTAATCATGTCTGTCAAACCAGTTACAGGTGGTGGTTTTTTTATACAGGTAATAAATGCCACAGATAATCCTTCTAGTGTTTAAAATCCATGGGCAGTAATTGCAGCCACCTGTTAGAATCAAAGTGAAATGGCCTTACACTGGAACTGGAGCAGAACTGACTGCTTTGCCCAGGATGCTCACTGCTAGTGACATGTAAGACACTGACACATCTGGCAAGAAGGCTTGTTTTGAAGTCCTTCTAAGTGGTTCAATCCTGTTAAAATTACTTTTGCACTTCTTTTTTTATTTTTTTTTTTTTTTTTTTTGGCATGGCTTTGCTGGTTCTAAGGAGCTCTTTGAACCTGGAGGTGAAACTGAGGTTAACACTCAGTACATAGGGGAGGTGGTCTCTGACTGCTGCTTTCCTGTCAGATTAATCCCTTTAGAGTAACTGAGGCTTCCCATGGCCAATGAGAGGATCAAAAATAAATAAAAATGCAGTCTTCTATTGCAGTGCATTCAGACCCAAACAAAATAACTAAAAATGAGGTCAGAAATGAGTAGTAATTTTTTCCACAGCAAGATTCCAATTTGGAAACAACACTCCCGTGTAGCTGGTAGTGTGTCTGAGGTGTGTGTAGAGCAGACACGTTTCCCCAGAGCATGTACAATTCTGTATTTTTTTTTATGGCTTTGCTTTGTCTTCGTGCCCTGGTTCAAAAAGCTTACTCAAACACCGATTTCAAAATGAAATGTCCTTTATCCAGAGATAACACTGTAATTTGGGGAATGCAAATATGCCCGCTGCTCTAATGGTTGAGTAGTCCTAGACCTTGAGAAGAGAGAATTGCTATCTTCTGTGTATGACTGTCATTACTGTATAACAAAAAGCTTTACTTACCTCTCTCCTTCCTTATTCACAGAGTGGACAGTTCTTTGAAGTTCTCTTTTGAAGGATGATGTTAGACTTCACGCTTGCCACCTAAGCTTTGATCAGAGATCTTAGATGGTCACTTCTATTGAGCCAGGAATTAATTTGCATCGTAATATGGCAGCACAGAATAGGCCTTTCTATTTCTGTGTGCCAGCAGCAGAGGCACAGTAGCCAGGACTGTCACTTGTTCCCTGACCTGAGTTCAGCAATTGTCTCAGCATTGCACAGGTGCTTCTCATGGAAAGAGTAGCCCAGGTTGGTGGTTTGAGAGCCCTCCTTCTACAGTTCCTTGATTGACTGACTTCAACCAACACCCTTCTCAGTGTAAGTGTAGAGGCCTAGCAGGCAAAAGGCTTGCTTGCTTCTGGAGAACTTTGTCCCACATAGAGCACAGAGTTTGGGAAAATCAGGTAGGAAGTACGTAATAAACCCCAATCTGCTAGATGTAAGGTTGAGTGGAAAACCTCAGTTTACTCTCTCTTACAATGCACAGTTTCTCTGCATTCACCCTGCCCAATCTCATCCTCCTTAAACCTAGCAATGGCTGAACAAAACCCTAAAAATCTTAAAATATATTTTATCTTGAAAGATGTTGACGTGCTAGAATTAGTGGTGTTGAAGCCTTTCTGCTTACTGCTTGGGTTTCTGCCACTTAGGCTCAGTGCCCTGTGGTGTTGGTGGGTGGTCCTTTTTTCCATAGAACAGGTTTGTAATATAAGGAGGTGACCCTGCTCTGGTTGTTAGATACCAGAGCTTGAGTAGAGTGGGAGGCTTAGACTTCAAAACTGAGCTCGTCTGACAGGTGTGGGGTTTCATGATAAACTCTAAGGGCCTTCTTCTTGCCCTCACTCACTGCTCCTGCAGGCATCACGTGATTCCTCTTTTCCACTGAAGCTTCTCTGCCTCACCCTCTAGTATACTGTCACGGTCTTCGACAGAACTTGAAACAGTTTTTATTCTCCTTTTCTATGACTTAATGTGAGCAAAATTGGATTTTTCTCTAGACTGTCTTTTCTGGAAACGTCTGACCTGTGTCAAAACCTGTAGTATTTTTGCAGGTTCCTCAGTACAGAAGAGGTAGTAATTGTCTTTCAAACAGGCAGTGTCTGGCAACATTAACTGTGAGGACTTTTAATGTTTTGGTGGACTTGAGGTTGGAAAAGTAAATCTGGAGAGTGTAAGGGTGTGGTCAGCTCCTTTCAGTGCAATTTTGGTAAGTGCAGTTCAGTTCCTAATGAGCTGTTGGTGATCTGTGTGTGTCTGTGCAGGCCTGAAGCAAGCACCTCGGCGGGGAGAGCAGCAAGGGTTCAGTAACAGGGGAGCAGAGGGGAAGCAGGACAAGGCTGAATGGAGACCATCTCTCAGGGAATACCGTCCTGATGGAACACAAAGACAGGTGGAGTTCCAAGTGGAGAGGTACGTACTACCATGCAGAGGATCTGCACGGGAGTGGGAAGGAGAAGTGGTCACCTTCTTAGGAAGCTGCTTCTTGCAGGAGCCAGGCGTGGTGTGAAGGCATGGTCACGTTATTAGCGTGCAGATTTGTTGTGAGACTTGGCCCATGCCTCTCGGAGCTGTAGTTCAGCTTCCTTGCCTGCTGATTTGGAGCAGTTTTGTTGAACGCTATAAATATGAGGCAAAACTGAACGGTGTAAAGGCCTGAAAATGTGACATTTAGTCTACAACGTATTCACAATGTTCATTTCTGAGCTCACGTACCAAGCTTTGCAGAACATGTGGTGGGGTTCCCAGTTGAATGACTTTTACTGTTCAAACTGGAAACAGCCCTTTGCCATGTTACTTACTGCTTGGACAGTGAATGCACATCAATTTTGCTTTCTTCGTAAGTAGTAGGAAATTCCACCTAAACCTTAAATGCTTTGGAGTGTGGCTGTTCTTCCTTTACATCACGATAGTTGGTACTTAAACAAATTGCCTGAAATTTTCAGTAGTTACATCTAAATCTGGGTTTACAGTGGAGCTGTTGCCTAATAAAGCTACTGAAGATCTGGCAGTTTTATAATATTTTCTTTTAACTTCTGTGATGTTTTCAGTGTTGCCAATGAACAGCTGATCTTTCTGTTCCTGTTTGTTGTAGTAATTCCTCCTGTGTTCAGTTGGTGACCCTTTTTAATGACAAGAGTGAAAGGACTGTACTATGTGCTGTGTAAAGATGCCCTCCAAAAGCTGTGCAGTAGCTGTTATATACTGGTGTGTCCCACAGCTGCACAAATACGGCCATACGATTTTTTTTTTTTAACTCCTTTGTTCTGTAGAAACAAAAAATCTGACTAATTGTCATCTTTGCAGACCGGTGGAGAGAATAGACTATGAAAGACCAGTAAGAGGCCGTGGTGGAGGACGAGGTGCAATGCGAAGCAGAGGAAGAGGTGGTAGAATAAACAGAAGTTTTGATGGCTTTGACCAAAGAGGAAAACGAGAATTTGAAAGGCAGAGTGGGAGTGACAAAACGTAAGTGTCCTGTGTGCTGTTTCTTGCTGGGAGTGCTCTGCAGCACTGCCTCTTGAGTGTTCTGTTCCCTCCTTCTTATCCCAGCTGGTGGCAAAAAGTCAGTACTGGTTTTAGTTTGAGGTCCTGGCGGGGAAAAGCTCCTAAAGCCACAGAATTCTGTTTTCCTCTCCAGAGGAATGAAAGCATACGGCAGAAAGGATGGAGGGAGGACTGCAACTGCAGAGCATTTAAAGTTGTTAGGAGGTACATCAGGTACTTGTGTCCACCACAGATGGTAATTTTCCATGGCCTACCTCTGATCATTGTTTTCTGTTCATCAGTTTCGTGTCCATTTTTGAGCTTTATGAGTGTTGCTTTCCATTGCTGTTGTGATGTTTCACAGTTTTTTAAACTTGTCTCCTTCATGATGGTAAGATTAAACTGTAGCAAAGGCATGATGATTGTTCACTTAAGACTGCCAAAACCCTTTGACTGGGGCCAATTTGTCTTTTAAAGGAAATAAGTTATGACTTTTCTCAATAGTCAGGTGAGTGGACTCTGGTATTTAACGGCATTGTTCCAAAATGCTGATTAGAAGATTCAGACTCTGTTCGTGGGCTTGAAGTCCAGTCTCTTTTTCTTGAGTTTTGTGGATCATTCCTAAATTTCAAAACTGTGACACAGTTCAGTATGGCTCTGGAGCTAATACTTAGCTGACTGTACCACTGAAATGCATTTTCAAGTGAACAGGAAAATCAGGTTTTCCTCATTTTGTTAGTTGCTCAGCCAGTCACTTAGTAGATCTTTTTGCTTATAATCAGAGCTTTTCTATTTTTTTTCTTCTTCCCAAGGAATTTGGGAAAAAAAGTGACGTATTGATATGCAAGGTATTTTTTTTCCAATGTGACTCATGAAGACTTTGTGGGTTTTTTTTTTGTTTGTTTGTTTGTTTACTGTTTCAGTGGGATGGAACAGGCTGCACCTATGGAAGAGACTGTAGAAACTGCTGAACAGCCAGGGACGTCTGAAGGAGAGCCCCTGAGCAAGTACTGTCTGACTGAAATATTTTCTTTCTAAATGCAAAGAAAACAATTGATTCTTACTGTTGTATTGGGAGGAACTGTGAAGTTTTTTAATGCACACATTTAAAAATAGAAAAGCTTTGTCTGTATTAGTGAGTATAAAAGATGCATCCCTAGTTCTGACTAAAGCTTGATTTCAGGTGACTGGAGGTTGCATTTAAATCCACCATGATGCTTATCTTCCTAAGATTTGATGATAATCTTTTAAGGAAGAGCTACATATTACCTTTTACCTTTCTAACTTGGCTAATTTGAGAAAACTACTGTGCTTTTTGAAGTTCTCTGAGAAAAGGTATTCAAGGTGCTTGTATAGTTGTACAAAAAATGCACTAAGATACTCCAAACCTGTCTTAATCAGTCACTGATATCCTGCAGTTGCCATCTGTTCATGAAAGGCCCTGCAGAACTTGTAGAAACTTTCTGGAAGTGCAGTGAGCCTTAGAAATAGGGAAATGGAGAGGGGAATCTGCCCCTTGTCTTCTGGCTTTCACTGTGTTCGGTGTCTGGAAGGAATTTGCTTCTCAGCAGATGAAACACTGGCTTAAGAAAAAGTAACTGGACAATCTTGTCCAAATAATAAGAGACTTAACAAATAATTAAATTGCATGTGGTGAGTATCTCTTAACGGGTGGAAGATGCCCAGTGCAGCATCTTAACCTCTTCTGCTGCTGTGCAGCCTTTTTTACCTGATGGTGCAGCTCCAGTTATTAGTGACGTGGGTTCATTTCTTAATTATAAAGCTAACTAGAACACAAAACCTGTGTTATGTGTTCAAGTTGTTTAACCCCACAAGTTGATGTAGCCTTGATTCTTTTAATTTTAAAGTAGCTTTTAGTATGTTGCTAGGGATGCGTGCACATGGGGAAATCTGTCTTTTGAAATTGAGTGACTTATGACTGAATTCCCAAAAAAAGCTGTTTCTAGATGAACATGAATCAGATGGGTAGTGCAGATACATTGTCCAAAATGCACTGTATTAGTTAAATGTGAGAAAATATTCAGCTTTTTTTTCATTTTTATTTTGTAAACTGCCGGTACCTTTACCTGTTTCACACTTGTGTTTGTTTCTAACTCGATTCAAGCTCTTTGGAGACATGTCCCAGTAGCAATTCCTTGTGGAGCTTAAGGCATGAGAAGTGTATGTACTGGAAAAGGCCCCTCTCAGAATCTGCTGGTTGTCTACAATTCTTTTACCTCTCTCAGAGGTCACTGAGTATTCAGTCGGACTGAGCCTTCCTGGAGGTTTCACTCCTGCTTGTGTTTTTTAAAAAAAGCTTCATTTAGGAATAGTCCACTGAAATCTGTAAGATTCAAAAAAAAGACAAGTATTTCTGCGGTGTGTACCCTTTTCAGTGCAGCAAGTCTTGTCCTGAAGGCTTACAAATCTGCATACAAAACATGAATAACTTTTATCTCATTGCACTTACCCTTTGGGGGAGGGTGTCAGCTCAGTATTTTTAAAATAGGAGGCACAGTGGGAATAGCACCTAGGCCATTAGGGATGGTTGTAGGCACATGTCTTAACAGGGTGGGATTTTATTTCTTTATTTTTTTGTTCTTTCCATATTTAAAAGTAAAAGCTGGTTTTACGCTTCAGGATGTATTTAAAAGTCTTATGTGCTTAGGTTGCTCCTGCTCTGCAGAGCTGCTGTCTTCCAGCAAATAACAGGACATTTAGGCTGCCTTCTGCTTTTGCTACAGCCTCAACATTATATAGGGTTGTGTGCTTGCTTAGGCTACTGCTGGGATCCTTCCCATTTTCACTCCATAATGCAGTGGCTGCAAGGAAACCGTTTCTTTTCCACTGTTTTGTTGTAGTTAAGTGCTTTTGTTGAGAGAGAGGTGGAAGAGTTGGGTTTGTTTCTTCTCTTGTTCTCTTTCCTGTTGTTAGCTGTTTCCATTTAAAATTAAACTGTAAAAAAATGTAATCCTGGAAAGGGGGAATAACCTTTGTCCCTGGTGTGGTGCTGGCTGATTTCAGTGCGACTCTGGAAAAAGAGTCTCTAGGATTCTCTGATTTAGGGGGTCTTACCCCGAGGACTGTGTCCGTGTTGCCATTCCACAGCTTCTCTTTGCAAAGAACTGCAGGACAAGAGTTTCTTTAATTCTTCTGTAATATGAAGCAAGTTGTTTTTTTTTCCCATATCCTCAAATTTTATTGAGTGTATCGACAATATCCGTCTCGATTTATATCATCCCAAATTGCATGCCGATAGTTGGGGTTTGGTTTGCTGCAAAAGCAAAACTTAACCTTGACAGTGTAAAAAAATGCAAGGGTGGGACTGCAGGATAAGCTTTCCTCTCGTCTGATCTCTGTTGAACTTGTCTTCACAGTCGGAGCAATGTAACACACTTGTGTTCACTAATTCAAAGTAATAGACTTTTTTTTATTATTATTATTCAGTGCAGCATACAGACTAATCAATTCCTATTCCTGAAGGATATTTTCAGCATTAGTAAATTTATCCTCAAGCTTTTTGAGCTGTTTATCTCCTTTTTGTTTTGCTTGGTTTGGTTTGGTTTTTGCTGTTTGGTTGGTTTTTTTTGTTCAGTTTTGACATAAAACTATTCTCAGATCAGGCCAGAGATTCATAAATAGTTGGTTCAGTGTTCTTCTTCTATGGTAAACTTGTACAGTTGTTGTTTGATCTTACCTTGTTCAGCTTTGAATTTTGCTGTAGCTGGTGGTAATGCTCCTGTAAGTGCCTGTTTATTGGGAAGGGTTCATGTCACTGACTTCTTAATAAAAGCTGGCTAAGGATTTGCTTTGTGCAGCTGAATAATACAAAAGCTGATCTGAGAAAGACGTGCTATGATCATTTTCAATGTATGAAAATAATAGCTGAGTTGAATGCCAATCCTTTCTGTTTGCATTTCTGCTGTTAAAAAGAAAAGGTATTTTGTTTGTTGTATGCTCAGTAATCGAGGCACAGCTGGAGGGTTGTGATCATCCATTGAAATTGCTGAAGCAGTAGGAACTGTTGCTGAAGGCTCTTGTGTAGTGATTTGGTGGGACTTTCACTGTGAATCCAGTTTGCTCATGTCCAGAAGTTGCACTGAGTTGTCTGGCAGTATTTTGTAAGCACGATTGTTCACGTGCCAAGGAGCTTATTAATTTGATTAATCAAAATGCGCACCAAGCAGTTGGTAAAAATGTGTAAGGTTAGAAGGCAGAAAGTAATTCCATGCAGGCTTGGTGCCCAAAATAACCTGCTGCAATTGAGTCTCTGTCCAAAATGTGATAGGTACGCTGGTTTCTGTTGCTGTGCCTCACTGATGGGAGGTGTTTTCCCTTGGGAGTCTTGACATCCTCAAACAAATTTTTAACTGCTAATAACCTAGCAGTTAAAACCATCCTTTGGAGTAAAAATCAAACCGTGCCACGCAGCTGAAAAAAACTCAAATATTTGCACTGTAAATCCACCAGTGTTTCCTTCAGAACTGGCAGCTGGTTGTTTTTGATAGATGTGTGATTTTCAAAGCAATACCTTTATTTGCTTTTTGAGAGGTGAGGTTGCTGTACAGTGCAATGTCCTCGTGTTATCTTGTGGTCATAGCAATTTAAACCTGGAAGGGCTCTTTCTGACCCAAGGCATGGCCAACCGTCACTGTCGCTTCTCGTTCCTGTCTGGTCGATTTTAATGTTCTGAGAGACATTTCAGTGTCCCTTGATGGTCTTTCTAATACTTAAAAAAACCAGAAGCTGCTGTGTTAGATTTTTGGTTTTTTTCTCCTGTCTTGCCTTGATATCATGGATATGCAAAACCTTTCCCTTTTTTAGCGTGATGTGTTTCCTCCCCACACCTTTAAAGGCTTCTCATGTGCATAGCAAGTTCAGTGTAGACTTCTGTCTTGCGCTGCTGTGCTGGACTTCCTACCTATTCCCACAAAGAAGACATCATTCAGTGTCCCAGTTGAATAGAAACCCTTTTATTGGTTTGCTTTCTCTTTTTTTAATTCCTCAGGGCGTTTACCACTACTATTGGTTTTCCAACACTTTCTCACAAAAGTTAATGCTTAAGATAATTGGTCAAAAATTATTTGGCCTCTTGCTCTTGAAGGCAAAAAATTGAAACAGTTGAGGTGCAATTTGCTCTTAATGCTGTTACATGTGGAAGAGTATCTGTGGGTGTTTTTCCAGAAGTGGCTGCTTCTTTCACCAGTATTCTTTTTATTTAACTGAGTCCTTCTAATATAGTTTCAGATCTTAATCAGCATGGAACTACAGCCTGCTTACCAGTCTTTTAACCTTTGATTTTTGGTTGATACAGCTGGAATTCTCAAAATAATAGGGCATGAAGGCATATTGGAGGGAGAGGCATGTAGTGCCGGACTTGTGTATTTGTTGTTCTCCTGCCAAGTGAATTTAAAACTGTGTTCATCCTAAAATCAAAATGAAGGGCTGCCTTACTGTTCAGTTCTGCTTCTAACTGCCACGTGCTGGGTGTCTCAGAAAAATACTGTCTAATTTTGACTGGCAGGAAATAGAATAGTTTGCCTCAGGATCAAGTGGGAAGAGGGACCAGGCCTGTTCCTTTATGGGCTATTCTATAATGCGCAGAACGCCCCAAACATGTGTGCGCCTTCTGATGGGCTGCTTCTATAACTTCAAACCCAAAATGCACAGTTTACTGGCTATCATTTGACTCTGCTTCTTTCCATGACAAAAATTTCTAATTAAATCTAATAAACTGTGTATTTACATTGGGGAAAATCACCAGCCCTTGGAACTGCGACTGAGTGAGGAAAACCCAATCCATACTTCTCCCACCACACGGGACCTAAGGAGAGGGTTTTCCAGGGAAATCAGTGTAAGGGAAATACTTAATTTCAACTGCTTCAATTGCTACAGCAACAGCGGTTTTGTGTGGGGGGAAGGGAGAAATGGTTTCTCAAGTGGAGTAATCAGTGTGGGTTTTCCTGTAGTTCGTGCCCCTTGGCTTGTTTGGGCAGCAGAGTTACAGTGATGAAGCACTCTGTGCTCCCTGTGGGTGGTGCTGCTTGGCAGGGGATGGCTGTCTGTGAGTACTGTTAAAAGGTACACCTGTATGCTCTAAGAGCTGCTGGTCCAGGGCAAGCCAGTAGTGGTCAGCATCAGAGAAGAATCTTTAGTTTTGTGCACCCTGTCTTCTCTGGGTATCTCACAGACCTGAAACCTTCTGTCTCTGCAGTTCAAAAATATGCAGTATGTTTTCCTTGAATATATCATCATTATTGCACTTTGTGACAAACTTGACTAGGATTAATCTGTTTTTTCTGGGTGATAAATGCTGGCTCCTTGTGTGTTACTACATCTGACCAAAAAAAAAAAAAAAAAAAAAAAAAAAAAAAAAAAAAAAAAAAAAAAAAAAAAAAAAAAAAAAAAAAAAAAAAACACAAACTAAGAAGCACCTTGTGAAATTAACAAAGGAAATGTTAATAATTACCTAGAAGATCCCATGGTGTGATCATCATATCTTTTTGATTACTGAAAACTGCACTTGAAACATGAATCCACCTCATTGTCCCTTGTGCAGGAAAGTCAGTGAATTGGGGTGTTTAAAAACTGCTCTGTGGGCTCATTTTACTGTGGCTGTATTTGCTAGGGGCAGATCCGCTGCTAAACTGTAGGGTTAAGAATATGACAGACCAAAAGGCAGAGTGTGTTTTTTGTCTAGAATCTTAAGTGCTTGAACCAATGACGACCCTGGATGAGCACCAGTAGAGGTGGCTGCAGATGGCATTTGTTCATATGTCTGATTTTGAACAGTGGTCCAACCTACCTTAATGTAAAACTCTCACACAAAGTTACTGTGGGGAGTAAGTGAACTTAAGGACAACGATTTGGTGAGAAATATTCCAAATACTTTGCTTAGTATCCTTACTTTAGAGATTAGTGTTCTTGTTCATCCTGGCGTGTTGCAAGCTAATGGTTTTTACTTTACAACTATAAACCTTTAGAGCTGCTGAAGCAGAGCCAGTGGAAGAAGTAGTTCAAGAAATGACATTAGATGAGTGGAAAAGTCTTCAGCAACAGAACCGACCAAAGCCTGAATTCAACCTGCGGAAGCCAGAATCCACTGTCCCTTCCAAAGCAGTGGTGATTCACAGGTCAAAATATAGCGATGATGTAAGCATTGCCTCAGGAATTCTGTGAACTTTATGCCCAGCATTAGGAATCTTGACTCTGTTCTTCCTTTTACTCATAGTATAATCTGAACAGACAAGAGAACAGTATCTAAGCCTTATTGCTTTAATGACATGTGGCCCCAAAACTCACTTTAAAAACTTACTGTGTGTTCTTTTTTTTTTTTTTCCCCTCTCTGACTATCACGCCTATTTTGTGTGCAAATACATAATGTGTCAAGTTGTTCTACATTATGGCTGAGTCTGAGAGATATAAAATGTGTCCTTGCTGCTGCCACCTGCGTAGATCTCTGGTAATGCTGCCAGAGAAACTTGGTTTACTAAAAGCTTCTTTTCCTAACTCTGAATCCTGTGATGGATCCCAGCTATCGCTGTGCACTTGGAATATATGTTGGTTGGTGGTTTTTTTTTTTTTGTTTGTTTGTTTGTTTTTGTTTTTTTTTGAGTTTTAGGGTCCTGCTTCTAATAACTAACTCTGGAGAGATAGTTCTGCTGTGATGTGCTTACCCACTCTGCCCCCTTCCCCTGAATTTTGTTTCACGATGTTACTGAGATTGCAGTTTCAGGAATAATGTCTGGGTGTGGAGAGAGAGGGCAGGCTTCTTTCAGATCCTTGCTTACTTAGATTTCAGGTTTTGGGGGGGGGGGGGGTGTCACAAAAGTATGTGCCTGTAGTCTAGCATGATGGAATTTTGATCCTTGAAGTCTGCATGCATTTATGAATACACATTATCATCTGTACAGCTACAATATCAACATCAGACCTTGCAGTTTTTTTAAGGCTTAATCCCTTCAGGTCACTGAGCATTTCTGGGGGCAGACACTGGTCCTGAAGTGGCCTGGGTTGTTTTTAGTGGGACTTTGCTGGTCAGAATTGCCATTATCCCCCTGTTCCTTCTCTGAGGAGGTGGTGGTAGGGCTGGGGAGAATAACTCTCACAGACTCTGAAGAGAGTGTGCAAGTGTGTGAAGAGTCCTTACAAGTCTGTGCTTCTTGCCCATGAAGTTTCTGTTGTGGCAGTACCAAGAGACCTGGTCAAAATGGGCACAGAATGGGAGGCACGGGGACTGTGTAACATGGGCAAGTCAGATCCCTTGATTGGACATGGGATAAGGGATTCATTATTGCATGGGATGAGCTAACACACACATTCTCATTACTGCAGTGCCCATTAAATTTGTGATGGGCCATAGTCTGACATCCACTGGCTGTTGGGAGCACCCAGAGATAAAACAACAGCCATCTCATAGCTAAAGATATGCAGACAAGTGCACCAATTAGATAGCTTTATGGTGTGGCCTTTTGTCCATTACTTGGGGATAACCGTAGGGGTTAGCAGCTTAAGTCTGATTCTCTAGTCCTTCCGAAAACCTCCTAGATGATATTTCTGAAAAACCTCTTCAGTACTGCAGAGCTGGTACAGAAGAATTTGTTGCCAGGAATCTCTGAGCCTACAGAGAATTATCTCAGGCATCTGGGGAGCTGCAATTGCCTCCTCTCTGTTAAAATCCTGTGCAAGTGCAGACCTGCCTTCTATTCCAGGTGTCATCTTGATTTATTTGCTGCTTAGTCTGTAATACAAGTGTGTGTGTGTGTGTGTGTGTGTATACTGGGGAGGGGAGAAGCTTGTACATGGGAACTGTGGGCTTTAACCAGATCTTCTTTTTCAGTTGCAAAAAGGCGGCCTTGAAGATGATTCTCATGTCTTTCGGAAACCCGTGAATGACATCACATCTCAGCTGGATATCAATTTTGGGAGCCTCCCTCGCCCTGGCCGTGGATCAAGAGGAGCACGAGGCGGTCGTGGCCGTGGCATAAGATCTGAAGAGATCAGACCTCAATCAAAAGTAGTGGTAATGGTTTTTTTATGAGTTTTTATGAGTGTTTTGGTTGTTTTTCTTGAGTTTGGTGTTTGTTTTTTTTTTCTGTCTGGGGTTGTTGGTGTTTGTGTGTTTGTTCCACCGCCTTTTATGTGGAATTACTGATTTCCACCGTGCCAGACCTTTTTCTAATTCCTGCCTCAGAGCACGTTGGCCTGCTTATTTTGAGTTCCTGGCCCATATCACGTTACTTTAAATGCTGGTTCATGCTCACAACTCTTAATGCACATATTTCAGAAGGCCTGATTACTAGATGCTGTAATGTTGACTAGAGGAAAGAATACAGTGAAGATTTGTTTCTGCAATGAGTTTTGACATAAATTGGAAAGTAATTAAAATGACTAAAGGCTTGTATCTCTTGGGAAAATTTCACTATAGTTCAGTAATAACATTTTGATTACTGAGAGATCAGAAAATCTGTCATCCTACAGGATTATGGGTTCAGTATAGCCATTAAAAAACCCTTCTATTTAACTGTTTCTTAAAAAAAAAAAAAAAACTATTTGCACTCTGGAAAATGACATCTTTATTCTTCACACTAACAGAAGGTCTCGGTTTACTCTGACTAAAATTGTTTAAGGCTAGGAACTTTCAGAATAATATGGAAGCGTTGATGCCTTTGTTTCATCTGAATACAAAAGGCTCTTTGCAGTAACAGAGCATAGTGTTTAAAGCTACAACCCAGTACATGCAGTAGTTTTAGAGAGTAAAAACATAGCAATGCTGCTTATAAAACCACACAGTATTTTTCTTGAGACAGCTTTACTTTTTTCTGTTCATTCAGTGCTGCAGACCTTATGGTCTTCTGGCCCTCTCCAGGCAGTAGATCAGCATTATAAATACATTCACACTGAAGAAATTACAGTAGTTGTAACTTCCAAGGTAGATGTTCAGGATTTCTGTGACAGTGGTGGATACAACTTAAGTAGGATTTAGTAGCAGTAACATTAAACTTGAGTAGAAGAACGAACCCTTTTAAGGGCAAAATACATCTGCATAGCTGTCAGATGCTTTTGAAATGAGTTCATTTTTATAAAGCTGCTTTTCTTACTTTACAGGTGCAGCCTGTTGCTCCAAATCCTGATGATCCTGAGGATTTTCCAGCTTTGGCTTGAAGAACCGTCACGAGTGGCGGCATCCCAAAGTAGCTCTGGAGTAGCTGTGAAGAGACCAGTTTTGTGCTGATGGGGATAAAGAAAGCCTGTTTCCCTCTGGAAAAGTTGTTTAGGTGTTTGGTGTGAAATGATTGCAGCTGCCTGCTAGTAGAGTGGGGCCCTAGGAATGTGGATGGCCTGGGATCCTGTCACGGGTCCCGGTGTCTGCCTTCCTTTGTGAGAACCGAGGGAAGGCTCACAGGGCTTCACTACCAGGCTTCAAATGGAGTTAAAGGGAACAGTGCTTTCAAAAAAAAAACACGTGTATATAAGAGATTCTATCAAGTTCCTCGTGACACTGAGGTGAAATGTGAGCTGTGAACACGGTGTGCAGCTGGGACTGTGTTTCACTGTACATTTGAAAGCTGATTTCCTGAGTGAGGTGTGTTCTTCTTCAGGCAGTCACGAGTTGCACTTCTCAGCTTGGCAAATAAAGGAAAATGCTCACTGGTTTGGGTTTGAGGTATTATTTTAAGAAGTCAGAGTGGCAGGATGAAGCTTTTTGCCGTTTGGATGTCTTCTGGAGCAAAACAAACAAAAAAACCCACAGAAAACCCCACCAACCACCCCCTCCCACACCCCCGACACAAAAACCCCAAACAACCAACCAAAAACCCAACAGTAGAAGAACCACCAAACCAAAACCACAAACAACAGTCTTTATATCTCTCTACACAAAAGTGATTTGTAAAATTAAGGCACACAGATGCTTCTTGTTGACACCTAACTGTAAGTCCTACTTCAGTAACAAGATACAATCTGCAACTATCTTGAAGATGTTTAAATTTAAGGAATAATATTGAGCTAAAGACAGAACTAAATTAAGGAAGCTTTTAATTCCAGCAGGAGCAACTACAAATTACAATGTTTCCTGCCTTACCACGAAGTTTGTGACACTGGGGATGACTGGGATGTCCCTTCATTGCAGCTTTAACCCTTCCTCACTTGAGCCAGACTCCCTAACTGTTTCCTGTCCAAGGGGATGCTCAGAACCACTCTGGGACATGTGAGAGAAACAAGGAAATGGTGCCAGAAGTGATGGCAGAAAGAGATGGGTGGACAACCTCACTGGACGTTCTGGAAGTAGCTCCCAGGAGTCTTCAAATGCCTGCTCAACTTGAACTCATTCTTTCAATTTGCTGGGAAAGCAGATTAATACAAACCTTTCATTTCTTCCAGTTCTCTGCCTCACTTCTAAGCAGTCTACTTAGAGAGCAAATAGCAGATGAGACTTAGAAGGAAAATAAATGTTTTGCTTTGGAGTAAGCTCTAGGAGTACCCAGAAACTTATAAGACTTATCTCACTGATAAGGCTTTATGCAAGTAGGAGAGAAGCATCCTAGGAGGACCACAGACTCTCTTCTATGTGCTCCAAGCAGATGGTCTGCAGAGTAGTTCAGCCCAAAGGATTTTTTTTTTCCCTTGCATTTGTTAAATTACTCATCTCACAATTTGCTATAACATGAGATTTTGTATTCCACAAGGAGTTGATTTTGGCAGCAGAGAGATGCTGTGACAACTTGTGGTAGAAAGAATGAAATAATATACATGACTCCTTCACCTTGCAGGAACAAGTGGCTACATGAAATCAATGCAGTTTAAAATTTAACTGCTCCTGCCCTTTCCGTAGGCAGTGTGTGTTTCTGCCAAAAAATGGCAATTTAATGTTTGTGGAATAGAAGTGATTTTTGTCTGTGGGGGTCTTGGAATATTTTTCCTTGTTCTTCCTTTCCTGTTCCACTTATCGGACAGAAAAATGTATCTGAATTTTTATTTACATTTTCACTTGCAGGAGTGAGTGTATGTATGGATGTGGAGAGCTTCTTTGCAAGGCTTGCTTTTATTTCCCATCATGTGTTGGAGGTGTAGCCTCCTCTTCTATTAATACCTGTTTTTGCTGAGGAAAGCAGAGAAATACTTAACACTAACCCTCCCTTTTTCTGCCAAAAATTTGGAACTTTGCTGTGCTGCTGGGCTGGATCTGGTGTAACTTATTTCAGTTCTAACTGTCCTCTGTGGAGGCTGAAGGAGTTGTTTTATATTTCACTCTGTTTCCTTGCTGCTGCAAAGTTACTATTTGTGCCTCCAACTTTGATCTGTTTTTTTCAAAACAGATTGACAAACAGGTTCTTTGGGGAATGCTTTAAAGGGCTGGCTGAAGTGTGTCTGTATAATCAACTTTTGGTCAGCAGAGCGTTAAAAAACTCCTGGTTAACAAAAAAAAAAAAAAAAAGGGCTTGATACGAGTCTGTTTAATTAAGAAACAGTACCAACTAACCACCCAAAACTAACGCCCACAACCTGCCCAACCCCAGACGTCGTGAGAATGAGGGTTGGTGTAGTTGATCATTGCTTAAACGTGAAGTTTCTTAGAGCAGTGACGTGGCAATTTTGTTTTCCAGTCTCGAACGTGGCCTCAGAGCTTGTCTGGTTGATGGGGTGTCTAAGTGTAGAGAGGAAATTATTAATTGTAAGTAGTGGCAGTGATGTGATTCTTCTGCTGGGCTGTGAGGACAGTCCCTCTCAGCCATGAGTTGTATTTAAGGCACCAAAACAGCCACTCCTGGTTTAGCTTCACTCCATCCTGCAAGGCAGCAGGGGTAAATATGCACACAGACACGAGGCATGGCCTGCTCCTTAAGGTAAGACAGATCTGAGTCATGCCACTCTTTAAACACTCCTACAGGGTACTCTCTGGATTAATGTAGTGAGTGGCTTAGGGAAAACTACTGCACTTCAGCTTCGAGTTTGAGATCAATGGAGTTTGCAAAGAAAGGAATTCCCCTCTGTCCAGGACTGTTGTTTACACGTGATAATGTTGATGTGAATCCTACCTGGTACCATGGTTTAGGATTGGCAAGAATATATCAATACGAAAGTGCCTTTAGAGGAAAGAGGAGAGGAATGTCTGCACTTAAAGAGTATCAAAGAATGAAGAGAAATAGAAATATAAAGACCTGAGTTGATACAGAGGCATATTGGGCAATTGAGCCCATGGGAAATAAGCTTTCAGCTCTGGTTAAACTTGTTTGTGTAAAAACAGGCCTTAGGGTATGAGCACCCTGTGGGCCCAAACCCAAAATCCATAGGCCTAGTACAGTTATATCATTAAAATTATTCTTGCACTGTTTTCAAGGAATTTTTTTTTCTTTCTTTCAGAGCCGTCACTGGCGCACAGACACTCACATAAGAAAATAAATGTAATGTATATACACACACACCTGTAGTGTTGAAAGTAACGCAACACTGACTCACTGTCATTGAATCAACAATTGAATGTGAAACATGGTTACCTGGCACAAAAAGTACCTTTCAGTCACTGAATAAACAGGCATGAAATTGGAGCTTTTCTCTTTCAGTAACACACGCTGAACAACAACAGTCTGTGCATGAAGGAGCAACCTTCAGTCCTTGGAAGAAGTAACAACTTTGTTACTTAGAATTTAATTTGAGGTATACTATTATATCTTCAGCAGAATTTTATATGCCCTTTGAAGATGTGATACAATGGCTGCTGCAGATAGCTGTGCCTTCAGAGCTGCTTTAGATGCTGTATCACATTTAAGGACAGCGTTTGTTACATTTGAGACAAACTAGCCCTTAATAAAAGTGAAAAAAAGGTTTTGCTCCTCCTGTTTAGGCTAAGTAGTGTGTTCTGTTTGTTGTCTCTGCAGTGTTTCACAGCTCAACAGGACTCAGTAAGTTCCTGTCTGCTTTTAGCAGAAGTAGTTCCTCTGTCTGTATTTGTACAGTAGTTACTATTATTTGAGTGAAAGTTACTGAATTTTGCATAATGTAACTGAATTATCAGGAGAGCTTTGCCAAAACGCAACAATACCAGCAAGGTACAGATTTTTGGTTTTTTTCTCTTGCCAGAAGAGAATAATAAGTTGACCTACTAGAATCCAGGAATTCTGTACTTGTTGGAGGTTTGGTGACATTCCTGTTACTTGTGGATTGTGTGCTGGTTTTCAGAGCCTTGTGGACTGGGCAGAGTTTAACAGGGAGGATGTAGACAAGGTGGAGCTTTCCTTCAACCCCTCTGTTGGAGTCCAGCACTTGACAAGGTTCTTGGAGATATCCAAAGGATGTAGGGTGTCATGTTTAAAACCAAATGTGCTTACAGAAGATGGTTCATGTCACATGGCATTTCTGGTTGAGAGCAATGCAAACCACACTGAAGACACACACAGATGCAAGTTACTCTTCCTACAGCAGCTGCAGTACACGGCTCAGCCCCAATGCCAGTGTGATTCCCATTACTGGTTCCTATGGGATATCTCCACACTGCCACCATCCCAGGTGTCCCCCGGTGTTGGGAAGGAATTGGAGGGTTGATGTCAGTTCAAACTCTTTGAAATTCTTCTGGCATTTGCCTGGGTCTTATACTCAATGTATTCATTCTCCTCATGCTAGTCTGGTCTTCTCTCTCTCTGAAGAGCTCCTGGAGCTGCACCACTGGTTGATCCACTCAGCTGTTGACAGTCATTCATTTATCTAAAACAAAGGCCACCCTCTGGTCCCTTTGTATTGAGATAAAATCATCTTTGCTGTGGTCCATCCCATCCTGCATCGCTCCCTGAGCTTCACAAGCACATTGCCCTCTCTTGACTCCAATCCATTGTGGGGGCTTGTTGTTCAGTCACACCCAGGTGAAACCAAGCCCAAAAGCAGAAGTACGAGAAAAAAAAACATCTCTTCCTCAACAAACCCTGCGTGAGCCAGGCTGAAAGCTTGCAGTTTACAGCACCAGACTTGAGTATGTCTGAGCTGAGCATCCTTTGTGCCAGAGCACGTTTCTGCCTCCTCCTGACAGGCACTGCAGAAGCTGCAGTGCAGGGAGGGCTCAGTGAAGCCCAAGGGAAGGTATCCAGAACTGAAACAGATCCTTCCTGCAGTGCATGAACTAACCTGTCACTGCCTTTCACCTGGGCCACAGTCCAGTTTGTTTGTCCCTGTGGGATTATTTTAGTCCTCTGCCCTCCCCTGCCCAGTGCCAGTGCACCCTAAACTGCTGGGGATATGGTTGGGCTCAGCTGAGTTTTCCTGGTAGGTATCGAAGCATACAGTATTGAAGATAAACCTTGTTTCCAAAAATTACTACCACATGACCATAGGGGAAGGAAAAAAAAAAAACTGGAACCCCACTGTTCCATCTTACCATGCTTTTCCTGCTGTGTAACAGTATCCCAGCAGTTCAGATACAACTCTGTTTTCCAAAGTGAGTGCCCTGAAATGTAGAGCCAGAAATCCTCTATTTTTGAAATTCTAAAAAAGTACGTGTTTTAAGAGCCTGTGCTTTTTAATTAAAAG